AGACCAGAACCCGTCCTGCAGGTCTGATGGCTCCACCTGCCGGTCAGGTTTAATCTTGGTCTATGATAAGGTTAAAAATGGCCGCCGCCCCTCCCCTCCTGTCTACCAGAAAACCCTGAGGAGGAGTCAGGGTGGAGATAACAGCAGGGTGGGTGGTACCTGAAGGTGTCCTCCATGTGGAGCCCAGACCCCGAACGCCCCACAGCAGTACTGGGACTCTGTTTACTGGTGGGATGTGATATTTAGGAGTTTAATGAGCTTTATCTTCATCATCTTCAGTTTGAACTTCCAGGGAGCAGAACCAACCAGAATCATCCTAATTTAGCAAAACTGTTCTGCTGGTGGTCCGGACCAGTCTGGATCCAGTCCTCCCACCTCCTGCTCTCCTAACCTGGTTCCTGTGGTTCCTTTCTCCCAGTTCCGCCTCAGTTCCTGAACTACCCGACCAACACCTTCGCCTACGAGTCCACCGACATCGAGCTGGAGTGCGCCGTGACGGGAAACCCGCTGCCGGCCGTCCGCTGGATGAAAAACGGGGAGGAGGTCATTCCCAGCGACTACTTCCAGATCGTGGTGAGTTCCACGGAAAACGCTCCAGAACCCCCACCCCCCCACCACCACCACCTTTTAATAAAAAGCTACATTTGAAAGGACAGCAGGTTTTCTGAAAGAGTCGACAAAGTGGACTCGTCTGGACCTGGAAGATGAACCATCTGAACTTTGCTGCAAGTGGAAATAAAACCACATTTAGAGACAAATTCACTTTGAATTTTTTCTAAACGTCTTAAATCAGATTCTGCTCTGAATTTAGAGCAGCATCTGATTCAAAGTCAGTCTAGGTTGATCCAGATCCAGGTCTTGATTCAGATCTGGGTCCACATTGGGGTTCAGATCCAGTTTTTTTATCCAAATCCAATTCAGATCCAGATCCTGATCCAGGTCCAGATTTCTCTCAGGTCTGTTTTAGTCTCATCAGGAGTTTTATTGAACTAATCGTCGACTGAAGCTGTGATTAAGACCTTAAAGTGGATCGGTCCTGATCTCCAGGTTTCCTCCTGGTCTTCTAGAACCAGAACCAGTATCAGCAGCAGGTGATCCAATGAGCCGAACCCGTAACCATTAAACCTCCTACTGACCATTAGAGGATTTAGTTGTTTCTGAGGAAAGAATAAAAGAAACGGACCAATCTGGACTCGGCTGGTTTAAA